GCTGGCCACCGAGGGCGCACGGGCCACCCAAGCCCCTAGCTGCCCGGCCCCGCAGCGCGCTGCCGGCGCCGACTGGCTGCCCGGGACGGAGCCGGCTGTGGCTGGGGTCGGGTGGCAGCCGGAGGAGTGCGCGGCGGCTGGACCTCAGTCACTCACCATGCCCGGCTGCGACTGCAGAGGCGGCGGCGGCGGCGGAGAGGCGGGAGCGCAGCGGCCGGAGCGAGCGAACCCAGAGCCGCCGGCTCGCTGCCTGCACTAGTGCTGGAGCGTGTGTGAGAGGGAGCGAGGGAGACACACGCACTCACACACCCGCACACACGGGAGCGCCGCGAGGGGAGGGGAGGGGAGGGCAGCCGCTCACCGCCGCCCACGTTTACACGCCTGGGCGCCCGGGAGGAGGGGGGCTCCTCTTTGCTTCTCCGTCCTCGCGGCACTTGAAGCTCCGCGTCACCAAAACCCGGGACACCCGTTAATCAACACGGCGAACCAGGCGGGCAAACAGGGGGCCAGGAGCAGGGCGGGAGTGTCCTCTCTGGAGCCAGCCTGCGGCGGGGCCAAACCTCCCCTGCCTTTGCCCCGTCCAGCCTTCGCGGCTGGTGCCACCCTACCCTACAGTCCTGGGCTGTGCGCTGCCGAAGCAAGAGTTGGGGTTTTTTGCAAGCCTTTGCTTCTCCCTAGTGGCGACGCTCACAGTTGAGGGAAGAGGTCAAACCCATTGCTACAGGTTCCTAAACTGAGACTAGGGGTCAAGTGGCTTGTCGGAGGTTACTGGGCTACCAGTAAGCACGGCCAAGTCTCTCTTCCCCTTGGGCACTCTATTCCCCACCCCGCCTCTAACACGCGCACAGGCACAAGACAGCCCCAGCGCTGGGTGGCCCCTCTTATTTCTCCTTTCTGGGACTTTTTCCAGAGCAGAGCGTTGGGGCAGAGTTAGAAAAGCTGTCTGAGCCTCTAAGACTCAGCTTTGAAATCCCTCTGCGGTAGCTGATGGGGGCGGGGAAGGGGCTGTGCAGAAGCCGGTGTCCCTGTGTGGTTGCTGGTTGGAAAGGAGGACTGGGTCGAACTTTCAAAGCCATGAAGCCGCCCAAGGGGGAGTCATAATCATCATTTTTGGTATGTGTCTGTGGAGCAGGTGGGGGAAATGAAAACAAAAAGGAGTGGCCACTGCCCAAATTCTGCCTTTGTGTCTTGGCCTTGTGAGCAAGTAAGTGAAGTTGAAGGCAGGGGACAGGTTGTGAGAGTGTGGGCTGGGTGGTAGAGATTGTCCCCATGGGTGTCCATTCAGTCCCACTCATGCATGACCCAAACAAAGGATGCCGCATGAAGGAAAGGCAGAGCACCTCTTCTTGAAACTCCGGAATGGACAAATTGGAGCTAGAACCCGGATTCCAAGGCACAGGAGGGAGATCTTGATCCTAGGATGGGAGGTGCACTACCGCCCATGGCAACTCCCCTGTTGCTGCTGTCTTTCCCTTCTCTCTCTCTCCGTCTCCTCCCTCGTCCTCTGCGCTTCCTCCCATTCCCTCAACTTCTACTCAGCTGCCACCATTTCTCAATGATTCTGCTCAGCAAATATTTATATAGTGCCTACCCTCCACCAGGCACTGTGGTGAGTGCTGAGATAAAAGATGAATAAGATGGTCCCTTTCCTCAAGGAGGGGGAGCTCGTAGACCATGGGGGAGACAGATAAATGATTACTATACATGGATATGTCCCACGATAAAGGTGGGCATGGAGTGCTCTGAGAGCACAGATGACAGGCACCCAGCCTGGCCTTGGAGGGGAAAGGTGGGGGTCAAAGGCAGCTTTCTCAATGAGGTAATAAACAGAGTCTTGAAGAATGATTAAGAGTTAATACAGCAAACAAGAGGGGAAGGACACTCCCAGAAGAGGGAACATCGTTAGCAAAACCAGAAAGACACAAGTGGTGAGGGTGTATGAGCAGGTGATAGAGCAGTAACATAAACTCCAAGGAAGTCTTCCAAATAAAGCTGGCAGAAGGGCATTGTATCCCCTGCCAAAGGACTTGAATTTATTCTACAGTCAATGGGGAACTGGTGGTGGGTTTTACTCAAGGGGAAGACACTGTCAGATTTACACATTCGCTGGATCTCTAAGTCACCTAGAGTAAGGAACACGGGATGGGAGAAGAGCAATACGGAAGCCATTCAGATAATCCAGGTAAGAGGTGATGAAGGGATGAAGTAGATTACTCGTAGTTGGTGCCTATAGTGGAGATGACCAGCCTGGTGAGAAAAGCAGGTGGGTTCAGCACGGCGTTAGCAATGGTCGTGTTGAAGTGCCTTTAGGAGCTCTAAGTGGAGCTGTTCAGTGCAGGAGTTTCAAGCTCAGGATAACAGGTAAGAATGTACATTTGAAAATCACAACATAGGCATATTCATCTGGTAATCATAGAACATTTTCTTTACCCTCATACTAAGTGAGTTTTTAAGTCACTCTCTTCCTTTCCTTTTCCTGAGCTTTCACCCTCCACCCCTTCATTATCCCAGAATTGCCTGTTCCGTGTATCTGGCAGCTTCCTGGCAGTGGGTAGAAACATTTGTTCCTCATGTGGACTCCAACAAGATTTGATTGGTGGCTCTGAATAAGGGAAATTGTTTTGGTTCCTTAGACCACTCCACTCACAAATGTGTTCTGAACCCCTGTGCTCATAGATGGTGGCATCAACAAACTCACAGAAAATAATAGTATCTCAGAGCTGGATAGGATCTCAGGGGTTATTTATTCCAACCCTGACTACAGTACACTATACTTCTTATTGACACTTGCTGTCCTTCCGATTTGCCCTTTGTAGTGTACCAGGTTGGTTGCTTACCAACATCCATTTCCCTACTTTCTCCTTCTAGTTTCAGTACCTGAACTGTTGACAGTATAGAAGTTTCTTTCTTTCATGGATTTGATTCATTAAAAAGTGCCCGAGAAGAATTGTCTTTTTCAACACCTATACCAACTTCAGACAGCCCATGAGCTTAGGAGAAAGTGACTCAATCCCTGGCTCTAGAAGATAGATCCCAATTCCTGAACCAACCATAATAATCTCATTCCCCTTGCCAGTGATTGGTTAAGAATGGACATGTGATCCAGTTCTGGCCAATATAAAGTGAGGGAACTGTTGGGAGATTCAGGGGAAATTTTCCTTGCTCTTAAAAATAATGGTAATTCCTCTACTTTTTTGAATGTTGTTTCTGTGGATGTTAGGACCTTGGGGAGGGGGAAGGCGAGGGCGGGCCAGAAACCAGTCATTAGTTGAAGTTGATATTCAGTTTGATAGTCATTTGTGCTGCTCTCTAAATATCTCTGCCTTCCATGCATAGAGTAGAATTGCAATTCCTGGCTCATTTGTGAGTAGGAGGGAAAAGTGACTTAGTACCACTGATCAACAAATTGTGAGCAAAAATGATGTATGTTATTTCTGAACCAGAGCATCTAATCGCTGCTTCAAGACGCTCTAGATTTCTCATTTTCTTCTGGCATGGCAATTAGCAGTGTTCTATGTGGGAAAGGCTTTGTCAGACCATCAGTGATGACAGGAGGGAGAACCCCACAGTTTGTAAAAATAGTGCCCACCATGGACATGTAGCATGAATAAAAATATACTTTTTCTATGCAGAAATAGAAGTACAATGATGTACACCTGAAATTTTTACAATGTCATAAACCAATGTTACTGCAATAAACAAAAAATTAAAAAAATATATATATACTTTTTCCTCTTAAAGACACGGGAATTGGGTCTGCTATTGCAGCATATCCCAGCCCATCCTGACTGATACACTAAGAATGACAGATGGAAAGATGGAAGGAAAATTATTGAGCCACGCATGGAACTATGTCCAGGGCTCTGTCAACTCTGGTCTTCCAGTAATGTGAGATAATTAAGTTTGCTTTTGGTGAAGCCTTTTTGCATCCAGAGTTTCTCTTACATGCAGCCAAAGGCATCCTAATGGATGTATCATGTATTTTCTGTCTCCATTCTGACTTTCTTTAGGGTTTCTACCTAGCTATGCAACTTTGTACTAATCATATCACTTCTATGGAATTCGGTTTTCTCCTCTATAAATAGGGAGCTAAGTGGAGGGAGTGTTTCTAACAAGCAATCTCTATGGTCTCTTCCCACTCTGAGTCTTTACCATAGCCCCATGGCCCTGCATCCTCTGGTCCCCTGCTATCCTTCTAGGCTCATCTCCTGCTATTCTCTCCTTACTCATTCCCTCCAGCCACGCTGGTGTCCTTGCTGTTCCTCAAAGCCTTTGCATTTGCTGTCTGCCTAGAACCCCTTCATGCCCCAGACATATGCAGGGTTTTTTCTCACACCTCTTTTGGTTTCTGCTTAAGCATCACTTATTAGAGA